CTACCCAATTCAGTAAGTGGAAAGTTTGAAATATTTGGCAATCTCTGCTTGTGACCATTTTTAATCTCACTTCAAAGAATAATTGTTATCCTACATAGTAACATACTTCATTAGTGTGGTCTATTTAATTTATCTAAAAATGAATCATACGTTAGGACTCCTATGGAGCCTGACTTCTTACATACAAGATTTCATTTGCAAAATTCGTTTATATTGTTGAAGATGTATATTGATTCATATGTGGTTGCTTCATAGTATTTCTTAAGCAGCATTCGTTAGTCTGAAAGTGTAAACTATCACAGTGTTATAATTTTTACTTACAATCTTCGCTCCAAGGTTAGGTTCAGTGTGTTTTGTTGGCTTCACTGGTTGCTTATGCTTGTTCAACTCTGACCTTAGTCATTTATTGTTTCTCTAATTTGACACTGATTCTATATTGTGAATAAATTGTTAACTGCGGCCCAAATAGTAAGTCAAATTGACCTGCACTTAACAAAACAGAAAAGTGACTATCGTCTTCTCACTGTTGTAAGAAGGCTAGCACTAAAAACCCTGTCCTTTGGACAAAGGCACACATTTTGCATTTGGGCGTTGTGTAGTCACAAGGCATTGATTCCTAGCAGTGAGGAAAAGAACAGGATGTGTAGATTCCAGACGCCAAATGGGAACTATCTAGAGTAGGTGAAAGCCGCCCTTCACGTATCATGCCGGGACATCTTCACTTTTGCTATCTCTTACTACTTTGGGGTCTTATTTCAGCAAACGGTTTCTTTGCAGTATGTGCTGCACCATGATGCAATCCTTCTCAAAATTTAAAACTGGCTCCTGAATATTTTGGAGTGTTGGGTTATAGAAACAGAGTTATTCAGATGTTTCATATTGGGGGATGCATTGTTAAGAAATGAAAGTACAGAAGTCAGTCCTTGTTTCCCAAGGAATTATAAAGATTTCTCGACTATAGTTTTGTTCCAATGAATTTTTATGAATATCCTCTTTAGTCCTGAAAGGTAAAGTAGAAAATTGGTTCAAATGGTCCATTTTCCTTGGACTGCTCAGGCATATACGAGCCAACTGGAAGTTCCCAACAGTCGAATGACAAAAATTTTGTGCAATGCACAAGAAAAAATATAAAGTAGTATTGGCTCATAACCCCAAATGGGAAAATAATATTTGTAAATGCTCATGAGTTCCTGCTGACACAAATAAATGTTTCAATGAGTGAGTATGGAAGGATAGGCCAATATGATTTAGTAAAGATTTCCAGATTAAAAATGATCTGTTTTAAATGCTCTATTTTTAATCAGTGAGCTGAACACACTGACTTTTTCCAAAGAGTAGAGTATGGGAAGATTGGGGAACACTGCGGTTCATATGTCTGGCACAAATTATCCTGGCCAAATGATCACTGGTAATATCAGGCATAAAAATATGTATTGATAGCATGTACACTGAATATGATGTTTTGAGAACAGTGCTTCACCTCTGTGGTATTCCTCCTAAGTACTGTAACTATAGAAAAGAGAGAAAAAAAGAGAGTACCATAAAACACATAGGGTTAGTACTACTCACATAGTTAACATCTGTTAAAATATCATAAGTTAGAGGAGACCTTGGAGGCATGGTTATCAAAACATCATGGGACCCAGCGCAGTGGCCTAGTGGCTAAAGCCCTCTCCTTGAATGCGCCAGGATCCCATATGGGTGCTGGTTCTAATCCCAGCAGCTCCACTTCCCATCCAGCTCCCTGCTTGTGGCCTGGGAAAGCAGTCGAGGACAGCCCCAAGCCTTGGGACCCTGCACCTGTGTGGGAGACCTGGAGGAAGTTCCTGGTTCCTGGTTTCGGATCGGCATAGCATTGGCCGTTGCGCTCACTTGGGGAGTGAATCATCAGATGGAAGATCTTCCTCTCTATCTCTCCTCCTCTCTGTATATCTGACTTTGTAATAAAAATAAAATAAATCTTTAAAAAAATAGCATAATAGGATGAAATTCTGGTGAATTACTGGAACAGCAAAAAGGCATCATGTTTAATTTATATATAACACACATATATGCTATATATATTTATTTATATATTATGCATGTTGTATCTATATATTTTATATAATTATTACATATTATGTATTTTCTCTATATTCATATATATCTTTAGAAACATCTTTTAGAATGTCTAAAGTGAGTTGGAACTGCTATACATCAGGTTATGTTACAATCTGCAACACCAAGATGCAATATTTGCACCCCGGTGTGAGTCGCAGCTGTTCCACTTTTGTTCCTGCTCCCTACGGTTTTGTCTAGGAGAGCAACAGAAGATGGCCCAAGTGCTTTGGCCTCTGCCATCCATATGGAAGATCATGACTCGTGTTCCCGGATCATGACTGGGCCAGCTCTGGCTAGATGGGAATTTGGGGAGTGAATCAGTGGGTGATGAATTCTTTCTCTCTGTTTTCTATTTTTGTTTGCTTTCTCTCTCTCTCTCTCTCTTTCCCCTTCTCTGACATCTCATGTCGGTGTGCATGTGACTTTGCATTTCAACTAATCAACTTTATATTATAAAAGAATCTTCATTAATAAATCTATAAAGGATCATATGGTCATTGATAAATGTCTTGAGAAATCCAAATAATATATGAGCATCATAAAATAGGTAATTAAACTCACACAGTACCCCAAGTATGGATAATGTTATACATCTGCTGAAAGTGTTTTAATTAATTTTTTAAAGGAAAAGGAATTGTGATTAACAAAACTGTGTTGATATTTGTTCATTATTTGTGACAAATATGCCGTGATGATGTGACAAAGTTTCTTCACTTGGCCAAAACTTACTCAGGCTTCTGAAACTGCTTCTAGACTCACCTACAAACATCATTCGGAAAGACAAACCTTATCATCTCTGCTAAGGAAGTTCATCAAGAACCCTAAACAGGCTGTACATCTGACCGAGTTTCTTATCCTCCATTACCCAATAAGATGATGCCTGATCCCTCTGGCTGGTCTGCAATAGGGCTCCTGTTGAGACAGTTTAGTCAGAATTCCCCTTATCCCTGATTATTCCTCTTAGTAATTTTTCATCAATGGCTTCCCACCCTCCTACTTGTCTATAAAACCAACTGCCCTTGCTGTGTTTGGACTTAAGCCCAATGTCCATGCTTTACTCTGAAACTCCACTGTAGTAGCCTTTATAACTATTAAAACTGTACTGAATGAGAGTTCTTTATTGCTATGATTTCACAATTATCATTGACTATTTCTTATAATGGTACAATGCAGATAACATTTGGAAAACTTCTGGCTTGTTTACACAATGTTTCTGAAAACATAAAACTATTTTAAAATAGACACTATACGAGAAAAATGCAAAGATAACATAAAGTAAAGGTGAAGGGAGGGGAATAAAATAAGGTTAAGAGGGAAAAGAAGAAAGGAGAGAAAAGGTAGGAAAGGAGGAAGAAGGAAGAAGGAAGAAATCTCAAGCCCAGGGACCATCTGTTGGGATTCAGTTAGAAGCTCAAGTTATGAGATTCCAACTCAGACCTCTGGAATCAGAAGCTCCGGCCATATATCAGTATTCTGTGATTTTGATCCCATAATTTAGAACCACTGATCCAGAGCCTGACCAAGCCTTCTATATTCAGATGCTTCTCATTTTAGATGAGGTCGCATTACTTTCCATTCAACTCTTAAAAAAGTCATTTTAGGCCCCTCTGTAGAGTCTGTTACCAAGTTGTCACCTTTCATAGAGGAAGAACATGCCTGTTTCTCTTTTCATATTGTTAACATCTGCTCTCCAAGGTCTTTGGAAGGCTCCCTGAGCTCATGTTTTCTATATCTTCCCCAACACATATCGATCTGTTCTACCTTTGATATCTCCCAGCGCATGACTATTACATGTTTCCCAAGGCTCCAAATCAAGACAGAGAACTGCCTCTACTAGGCATCTGTTTTGGCTTCTGTACAACTTGGCATTTTCTCTGCAACTTGGGAAACATATGTTTAATCATTATAAATGTCTAAGATTGTGTCTAACACACCTGAGATGTTAAGGTTACTGCATGTAGTAAGTATCTGAGCGAAATTGGAGCTATTATTGATTGTGTGGTTGTTGTTTTTGTTCTGAAGTATCTTTTAACTTTTCACAAAGAAGCAGCATTTTGTGTGGACAATAATGACAAGATAGACACTGGGAGGTCTGGAACTTGAGTTGTGGCATAATAGCTAAAGCTACCATCTGCGACTCCCTTACAGCCAGTGGTCTGTATCCAGGCTGCTCAACTTCACATTGAGCTGTCTGCTTGCTAATGACCTTGAGAAGAGGAACCGAAGGTGGCCCGAACATTTGTGTACTTATAACCACGTGGGAGACCAGAATGAATCTCAAGGTGTCAACCTGGCCTAGGTCTTGCTAGTTTCTGCCATCTGGGTAGTGAGCCAGCTGATGGAAGATCTCTGTCATTCTGTATGTCTTTCCCGACTTCTCTGTCTCTGTACCTATGACTTACAAATAAATGAGTTGTTAAGAAAATACTGGGAAATTCCAATAGGGGAACTAAGTCCACAAAATTTTATTGTAACACACTGAGAACCCCTCCCCCATATCACATATCTCAGTTTCTAGTTACCTTCGTTTATGCTTGCGATGTTGGAAATATTCCATGTGGCCTGTGTAATGCTTTTAGTATAAAGTAAATGAATTAAAGTGTATATGTAAAATCTGGGGGTAGATTAACCTTACATCATGCACTAAAAGTAACAGCATTTTAATTTTTCTCTGAATTATCCTAGTTCCAGAGATCCTTAAGAGTCTCTCTTAGCCTGAGAAACAGGATTAGTGAGGAAAAAATCATCACCTTAGGGATTGTTGCAGCAGCAGGTGGGTGCGTGAGTCTATTTAGATAGCAGGTTTCGATTTTTGCCTTTTTGCTTTTTGTAACAAGATAAATAGAAGCATTTACACTCCATAAGCACACAAGCCCTCAGTGTTCTGGTTTGCTTTGCAGATGGGAATTAGTGTTGTGGACTCTGCAGTATCTGGGTTAGGAGGTTGCCCATATGCGAAAGGTGCTTCTGGGAATGTCGCCACTGAGGACTTGGTGTATATGCTTAATGGACTGGGACTCCACACAGTAAGTCACTTTAAGATATTTCAATAGTCATCCATTCCTTGCAGCTGCAAATCGGAATGCTTCTCTGGTTTGACAAGCAATTTTGAAGTCAAACTTTTACCACACTTTTGCTTTGTGTAAAAGTGCACACAGGGAAAATACAATAAAAGTCCTTTGGGGGCTTTATAAAATAACTTAGAGCTCAATCACCGATACTGCTACCACTTTACATTTTATAGTGTTGCATGAACTCAAAGTATGTTTCCGTGTATTATCTAATTAATTTCACATGTTTTGTGAGTTAAACCTTGTGTCTTTACTGTGATGATTGTTGAGATGTGTCTGTTTTATTTTTATTTTTCTTTATGGATGTTTCCCTTGGAGGAGACTGGGAACTTGATTGTCTCACAGTGGCAGCCAAGACATCTGCAAATAAATTAAAAAAAAAAACAAATAAACAAGGAAACAAACAAACAAAAGCTAAGATACCTGAAAACCAGGCAGGTGAAGAGTGCATAGTAGCAGTAGTCACTTGGAGAGCCTGGCATTGTTGTGCAATGGTTAAGTTTATGTTTGCTACAACTGCATTCCATTTCAGAGACCTAGCTACTGTTCTTCCAATTCAGCTCCCTACTACTGTGCCTGGGAAGGCAGAAGAAGGTGGCCTACATACCTGGGATCCTGCTGCCCATGTCCCTGGCTCCTGGTTTCAGCCTCGCCCAATCCTGACTCATATAAATCTTTTGGGGAGTGAACTAGTGGATGGACAATTTTTATTCTTTGTCTTTCTCTCTCTCTTTTTTTGTCAGTAGCCTTTCAAATGAATAAATATTAGAAGGAATACTTACTTGTAAGTAGTACTTGAAAATCACCCGTGGTATAATAACCCCATAGTCAGCGTCTTGTTTTTTGAAAAGTGTAACAGAATATGTTGGACTACAGTACAGAAGATTTTCAGGAAAAAAAAAAACCCTACGGCATGAAAACTGTTCCTAGAGGATAAGACACTCAAAATACTTTCTGAGACATAACATCACCACCTGAATTGCAAAATAACTTTGCCCCTTCGGAGTTTTCCATCAAACTTGCCTGTTGTCCCCATTTCTGTATATTCTAATCTGAATCTGCACACCTTGTGCAGATTCTCATCATCATCTGAAATGATTGTATATTATTCAGACAGTCTAATTCATCTGGGCAACTAGGTAAATCATTTAGCTTATCTTCTGGTTTCTAGATCTTTCAATCCCTCAGACCAAATTTTTGATTCCATGTCTTAGTTCTTTTATATCATTACCTCTGAATTTATCACGGAGTGATGTCATGATCCCGCTCATAAGCTCCTCTCATAGGAGAGAGCCGTTATTAGTTTATTCATCCTCGGTGCCTGTGGCATACAGATGCTCAATAAATATTTATTGTAAGACTGATTTCACTTGGCGGTGAACACCAACAGCTGTTGCCTATAAACACCAAAAGCTATTGCCTAATATTTCTGGTTTGGAATAAATATCGTTCCATTTACAAAGTAGCTTAATTATTTCTATCAGAAGGCTATGGCAGAAACTGAGGGGAAACAGAGAATTTCTCAGCTACTGTATCACTGAGCTTCACTGCACTGACAAATGATGCTTAAAATATATCAGGTCTTGTTCCAGAACTTTGAGCTCTAAATGCAAGTTAGTCTAACAGTAAGAATCTCACACTTCAAGAAAATTGTTGCTTTGAATAGCTGCCACAATTCAATCAGTTACTGTAACTAATGAGTCAAACTCATATTTAGAATTCTAATGGGTTAATTATGCATTCCAGATTCAATAAATTTGTCAGAACAACCAATTGACTTCTAAAATATGCTTTTTTTCATTTCTTCTTTTTCATGATTAGTATGACTGTCTCAGTGCACAGTTTTATGTCTTTGCTAAATTTTCATTCTACTACTCACTTGGCTGACTACAGGGTTCCCTTTAAATTGAGACTATTTTATCTGAAATACTAGTATGACTCTACCAAACTTCTCTTTCACACTCACCAGTGAATTTTTATTTCCTAAAGGACAAAGCAGTACTCTGTCACAGCATCTGGCCTATGTCCACTTTTCCCAGCGTGAAAAGTGCAGATTTTCTTTTCTGTACTTGTTCTTTTTGCCATTGTTCTCTATACACACCATGCCAGTTTTTTTGAGATGCCTTGTGCTGTTTTTCCTCTTCCTATGGTGTATCAGACAGCCTCCTTCCTCTCAGTGTCTCACACTGTCAATATAAAATTTGGGCCAGTATTTGTCCTCCCTGGAAAACACATTCTGCTGCTTTTCCTCCAATTAGTTTGTTTTCCTACGCATCTGTCTCCATACTCACCAGGGCATATCACTTTGAAGGGCTATAATTATATTGATTGTTTTGTGGTTACATTGCCTGCTTGATCATATGTTCTCCAAAGGAGCAATTGCGTCCTTTCACAACCTTCTTAAAATCAGAGTTTATCAAAATACACAAGCTATAAAACATCTAACAGATGCTTTAAGAATAGATGCAGTATTTTCTAGTGGTATCTGTTCATTAAATAAAATGGTAAAGGACATAAAAAAATCAAAAGTCTTCTTTAGTGTTGCATACCCAAATTCACCCACATAATCTTATGGATAGCAATTTGGGGAAGCAAAGAACTTTAATAACCCAAGTCTTTCCATGAACCTTTGATGTAATACGGAAGTGAAAGATGGCTTGGAAAATGTCAGTATCATTGCATTAAGAGTGTTATGCCAGTCTGCCTAACAGGTCACTTGAATTCATTATTATGGCAAGAACAAACTTCCTACATAAAAGCAAATAGCGTTCCAAAAGTAAGATTACAATGGAAAGAAATAATGTAAATAATTTACAGATGTCATTTCACCAGCTATTTTTATTGGTCATTATTAAAGAGAGAATATAAAGAGAACTGCGCTTTCCCGTTAGAATTAATTTGCTATCTTTAAATGTCTCCTCTTTTTAAAAAGAGGAGTATCATTATGGAATGTTTCTGTGACAATTGTTATTTGTCCACTTAAGGGAAAGTAAAAATTCTACAAATAATGAAAATTACTTCTTAATAGCAAGGAAGACTGAAAATATTAAATTTTAAATCCGTGTTATTCCTCGACTCTGTTGAGGGAGGATATATGAACTTATGAAATACTCCACAAGGGCAAATTTGTGGTTAATCCTGCTAATGCTCTGACTCCCACTGTGACAGTGAAAGTGCTAGGTGGAGACTTTGATGTAACCTTTTGTGACATCAAAATCTTAAGATGAGGAACATGCCCTGAACTTGGCCTGCATATTCAACTGTGTACCTGTCATCCATGGATTTACCTAAGCCATTGTTGATCCTATTTCTTCTTTCAGACAGTACAATCCCATAGGCAAACAAGTTCCAGATGTATACTAAATACTGCTTCATTTGATTTGACTTACAAATACCTCCTTCAGTATCATAGTAATAACAGCATTTCTGAACATGAAAAAGTGTGTCTGTTATACATAAGTATACGCATACATATGTACTAGCCTATGTATCTATATTTTATGTAATCCTTATGGCTTTATCAAGTCTATTTCCTTAGAGTAATAGTGATTTTTTTATTAAGTTATTTTTATACCTCTCTAAACCACTATGATTTTGATTGCCCTTTATTTATACTGTGTATATTATTTTCTTATTTCAATATTGTCCTTCGAAGTGTTCAGGTTTTAGCCTAAATTATACTGAATTATTCAGGTGTGTCTAGCTTGTGTTATAACAGAATAAGATTCAAGAATTTTTTATAAAGCAGACAAATCTAAAATGCAGACTCCATGGTTCATGAAAACAGATATTACACCAAAATCGGTAACAAGTAATGCTTTAGAAATTTTAAGTATTTAGTGATATTCACAACACATAGATAATGTATACTTTTACATATATAGTTTGCTCTTTGTACTCTCTCTTTTCCTTGCCAGGGGGTGAATCTTTACAAAGTGATGGAAGCTGGTGACTTCATTTGCAAAGCTGTCAATAAAACCACAAACTCTAAAGTAGCACAAGCCTCCTTCAGTGCTTGACCTGACTGATTCAGGACTTGTAGCTGTGAGGGTCCCTTCCAGCTAAATACAGTCATCTGATCATCCTTCATGTCAACATTTTCTTAAATGTGAAATCATAGACATGAGCAAGAAAAAAATGAGATGTTTAAAAACAAATCACAACTGGATGAATGATGAAGTCACCGGGAATGATATCGGTCGTCAGGTAAATTGCTAGCTGGAGATAAATAATCAAATGTGTAGTCATCTGTGTGGGCACAGAAGTTCTACTCTTGTTCTTATAGAAAAAGTTTCAGTTTAGTAAATGTAAAAAAATTGAATTCATGTTTCCGTAAGTATCAAATATTGTGTTGATTCTTAATCAAACTTGCTTAGCACGGTGCACACATTGTCAGTAGTTCATGAATTCCTGTGGAGTGGTCCAAGTGTGTGGCCTTGATACTAAGCATTATGTCTCTGGATCCCAACTTCTCACTTGCCAAGTCGGTTAAGTTATGGACCAAGAGCCAAATCTCCATCTGACCCTACATAATTTTTACCAATATAACTTTTATATTTCAAATATGGCCAACATCTGTTAACTATTCAATGACTTTATCTTGTTCCAAACGGCTGTGGTCAATGGCAAGATGCCACATCATGAAATACGTTGCAACCTGCTATGTTTGTTACATGCATCCAGTTTACCATATTTTACCTTTCATCAGTTATAGTGAAAATCAGCACAGTATTATTCAACTATTGAGCAATTGTAAGGCATGATTTCTTTTCCTGATGTCTACATTGTGGTGATGATAATAGGCTGGTATATGTACCATAATCTACTTTCATAGTTTTCAGGTCACTGGAAAATATCCTAAGGATATCTAATTATTAACTTAAGACTATGGTTATAATGTTTGACTTAAAAATAAGCTATCTTCCATTGATTTGAAATTCTTGATTATATCAAATAATTTTTGGTTGACTCATATAGTGATTGTTTTCTAAAGTGTAATTGATGACATTTGTGCATTGTATTGAAAGCATTGTCAGAAATAGCAAAAGTTAATATATCAAACATTCAGAAGAGGATCAGGGGAAAATTGTCAGGAAAGATCTCTTGTATAACCTATGCAAATCATATGACTACAGTATTATTACCAGTGGGTCTAAAGTGTTAGTTCTATTATTCTTGTAAAAACTGGTGTAAAATTAATAATTGCTTTTATTTTTAATAAATTTGGATATAAATTAAAATATGAAAGTGAATGTGTTGTGTATTTCTTAAGTTCATGAGAATCACCGAAATGAAATGCAATTCAAGAAAATAACAGAAGTACTGATTGCAAGTGAGTTATCTTTAAAGATATGTAAGAAGGATCAGCATTGTGACATAGTGGGCTAAACCGCTGCTTGTCATGCTTATGTCCCACATGAGAGTGCAGCTTTGCAACATCAAATCCTAGCAGTTCTGCTTTTAATTCAGCTGCCTGCGAATGAGCTTGAGGTCCCTGCCAACAATCTGGGAGATGCACATGGAGTTCCTGGAGGTTGGCTGTTGGGCGAATAGTTTAGTTGTTGCAGGCACTTTGGCAGGAGTAAACCAGCAGATGGAAGATGTCTCTTTCCGTGCCTCTCCCCCCCCATTTTTCTCCTATGCTTTCTTTAAAATAAACAATTAAAAAAAAAAACTAGAGTAAAAAAGAACCACAACCAAATCATACTGGCAATTAACAAAACCAAACTAAATTTCCATGGAAGAGGCCAACTTGTCAGCTTTTGGTATGGTTTTCGAGCTGCAATTATAGCAACTTGCCTGTCAACACAATTTAATGAGAACAATTCTTTGTTGGGGAGTTAGTTTTGGAAAGAGGGACAGTTGGGAGACAAAACTGCATTTATTTGTGTCTCTTCCTCCATTTGATTTCCTATGTGCATCTACCATCATGCCATCTCATGCCTTCACAGTGGAACAGTCGCAGGGCATACACACTAGATGTATATGGCAGATCTGCACTTCTGAGGAGACTGGTTCCTCTTTCAGAACTGTAGAGATCCTAGTTCTGAGACACTTCAAGGGAAAAAATCTGTTGATGCAGACTACTTACAAAAACAGCTAATGAATGAACAAGAAACGAATAATCATGGACTTTTTAAAAGGCACAGACCACAGTCAGAAACCTCAGCATACTGTAGCACACAGTTACACTTCATCCACGTCAATCTACTAAGCACCTCTTAGTAACATCTTAATGATGCCTAATCACATTTACCACAATGAAGTTTGTGGTTTTGGTATTCCATCGCCTTTCTCTACCTAAACCATCTAAGTGCCTTTGCTAGCTTAGGCAGTGTATATTTTCTGGCTTGGAGAAGGTTTGGGGAATGGGCATCACCTAAAGCTGCCTGAAGTACATAGGCAGAATTCCCTTGAAGTTCCCCCAAAGGCATATTCTAACTAACTATAAAACATTGTCATTTCAGGATCCACCCGGACAACCATCCACTAACACATAAATTGCTATCATATTTATCCTTGGTAGGGCTTAGGAATGCCAAGCACTTTTAAGTTTTATTCAAATAAAAATCAAAATAATTAAATGAAGAAAACACTTCTTCTGTGTCTTCGATCACACAATGTATTTTACTACATGCAAGTCTTCATGTCTTTTTGAAAGCAAGACTGTAAGATCTTGGGGTTGGCACGATGGCTCAACTTGCTAATCCTCCACCTGTAAGTACTGGTATGCCCTATGGACACTGGTTCGTGTCCTGGCTGTTGCATTTCCCACCCAGCTCTGTACTTTTGGCCTGAGAATGCACAGAAGGACTATACAAAGTCTTGGAACTCTGCGTTCATGTGGAAGACCCAGAAGTAGCTCCTGGCTTCAGCTCATTTCAGCTCTGGCCATTGCAGTCATTTGGGGAAAGAACCAGCTGATGGAAGATCTTTCTCTGTGTTTGTGTTTCTCTTTATACCTGCTTTTTTCAAAAAAAATTAATAAATCTTTTTTTTAAAGACTAAGTTCTCTGAAAATGCAGCTTCCTAAATACTAGATTCATTAACTTCACAATCAAGTAAATGAAACTTTGTATAACTTCCTGGGAAATTCCTGAATCTCTGGTCTATTATTTATTTTTCCCGCAGCATTTAATAAAAGCTCCATTGAATTGGTTTTATATGGCTGTTTATTATTATATATGTTCATCATCTACTTTTTTTAAAAAAAGATTCAAAAGATTTATTTATTTTTATTGGGAAGGCAGATCTGATTTACGGAGAAAAGCAGAGATAAAGATCTTCAATCTATTGGCGTACTCCCCAAGTGACTACAACAGCCAACCTGAGCCCATCTCCTGCCAGGAACTGGAAGCCTCCTCCAGTTGTCCCATTCGGGTGCTGGTTCCCAAGGACTTGAGCATCATCTACTGTTTTCCCAGGCCCCAAGCAGGGAGCCGGATGGGAAGCAGAGCAGCTAAGACACAAACCTGTGCCTAAATGGGATCCAGGTGTTTTCAAGATGAGGATTTAGTCTTCAAAATCCCATCAAGTATCTTCTTAAAGATGAACTCCAGGGCCCGGCAGCATGGCTTAGTGGCTAAAGTCCTCACTTCGAACGTGCCAGGATTCCATATGGATGTTGGTTCTAATCCCGGCAGCTCCGCTTCCTAGCCAGCTCTCTGCTTGTGGCCTGGGAAAACAGTTGAGGCTGGCCCAAAGCCTTGGACCCTGCACCCACATGGGAGACCCTGAAGAAGCTCCTGGTTCCTGGTTCCAGATTAGTGCAGTTCGGGCTGTTGCGGTCATTTGGGGTGTGAAAGTCACTTGGGGAGTGAATCATCGGTCGGATCTTCCTCTCTATCTCTCCTTTCTGTATATTCGCCTTTCCAATTAAAATAAATAAATCTTCAACAGATTACTTTGACTAAGGAAACCACAAATGCCATCCCTATCACAGTATACCCATACTGTAAAGAAGAAATTCCATATGGACACTGGTTCATGTCCCAGTTACTCCACTTCCCATCCAGCTCCCTGCTTGTGGCCTGGGAAAACAGCTGAGGACAGCCCAAAGCCTTGGGATCCTGCACCTGCTTAGGAGACCTAGAAGAAGCTCCTGGCTCCTGGCTTCAGATCAGCTCAGCTCTGGCCACTATGACCCACTAGAAGAATAAACCAGCAGACAGAAGATCTTTCCCTCTGTATCTCCTTCTCTCTGTAAATCTGTCTTTATAGGAAAAATGAATCTTTAAAAAATTAACTGAAGTTCAACATTTTGCAAATATTAATCTTAGATGATGTATATATGTATGCATATTTAATATATCTTAAATGTGTGTATGCACACACAAACACACACATACCGTAGGGCTGTTTTTGGTCCACATGCTTTTGCAAGAAACTTTATACCAACTCAGATGTAGGGCGAATGATTGAATTAAGGTAATTGATGCACATGCTAATTCTACAGGCAGCACCTAAGATACTATCATGAAACGTTAAAAAACACAAAGCTTAATACAGAAACAAATATCCATTAAACAGAAAAGAAACAAAGGTGAAATTCTTAGATTTGTTTACAACAAATTGACAATGTGGATACAAATAAAAGCCTTCCTAAGGTGAAACAGAATTAAGAGCTATTCTGCAGTTTTGTAATAGGCATTAAAGAGTGCCTGTAATTCTATTTCTCTGAATCTCTCACAAACATGACACATGCACACATAGAGCCATGTGCGTTATGTAGAATGCTATTTATGGCAAGCGAACCTCAGGGTTTTAGTCTATTTTATGTTGCTATCATAGAAAGCCTGAGACTGCATAATTTACAAGGAACAGAGACTTGTTTCTTTCAATTCTGAAGCTGAGAAATCCAAGGTCATGGAACCCACATCTGGCAAATCCCTCTTGCTGCCTCATTCCATGTCAGAAGGTAGAAGACAAAGGGAACATGTGCTTGAGAAAGCAAGAGATTGAATTTAAATCCCCAAGACCTTTTGCAATCAGAGTTATTCTTCACATTAGGCCCCACCTGGCAACACTGCTTCATTGGTAAAAATATTTCTAACACATGAACTTTGGGGGTGAATTAAATCCATACCATTTTACTGATAGCTCTTCAAGTCCGTATTTCTTTCACATGTAGAATACATCCATTCCTTTCCAGTAGCACCCCCCTGCCCAACCTTAATCTATTCCAGCATCAACTCATAAGTCCCAAGTCCAAGGTCATGTTAAAATCTGATTAGACATATTCCAAAAAAATGTCTCATTGTACCTCTGATCCCAAAAATTTAAAACACTATCAAAATCAAAACTTCAAAACTATAGTGGTGGGACAGACATAAGATAGACATTCTCATTCCAAAATGGGAAATGGGATACGATTAAGAGTGATGAGAAATTCCATAAAAGTAAAAAATCCATGGGGAAGATCACAGTAAATCTTTAACCCCTGGAATGAATTTTTACTCTACCACCACAAACATGCTTGAGATGGCATGCACAAGGCTTGGGGTGGCCGTGTGCCTGACTGCTGCACTTAGCTTACACGGTGGTTCTTATTGTTTGGAGTCCAATGCTTTAGCAACTCAAGGCCCACATTGTATGTTTGTAGTGTTAAAGTTCCAGGATCTAGCAAGCATTCCCACTTCTCTAGTTCAACTAGGAATTGTACAAATGGAGACTCTTTTATTTCTGCTCCTGTGTAAGGTTTCTGCTTGTGCCCCCGGGCTGCTTAAACCACCTTTCATGGTCTAAATGGAGGTTGACAAGGCCTCATAGTGTGTACAGTATAATCATCTGCAGAACTCGCATTAGATAAATTCTGTCAAAACTTGTAGCTGTACCTGTATTACCGGTGGTCTGAGCTGCACCACTGGCCACTTAAGCCAATGTAGCCAAGGATGCGGAGTTACAAATCCTGAAACCCATAGGGACCTCTCTGGGAAACTTCCCTTCATTGTTCAAGATTTCCTAAAAAGACTCTGATATTCCTTTGAGAGTATACCCTGATTTTCCCGTGAATGGCTCCTGAATGTCTTTAATTTGTAGTAATCTTTTTAGTAAATTATGTCATCATAACTCCCTTGTTTTGTTCTCCTAAAAATCCCCTTTTCTTATTTGCATATGCAGGCTGCATATTGTCCAATTTTTTTCTCATTGCTTTATTTTTAATATAAATTTAGCTCTTAAGCCATATCCTTCTTATTTCATGTAACAACACATGCTTAAAGTACCTGTTTAGTTTATTCAATAT